TGTATTTGTATATTTACTAGCTATCTAGCGCCCTCTATGAGGTGCCTTTCAAAGCATTATCTGCAACACTGAAAGCGCAGTGTTTAGGATATCTTGTGAATGACTTAGTGTGTAGTCAAAACATAGTGGAAGACATCGACAAGAATATAGAGCACATGTCAAGTCTGAGACGTGATAAATGGATTATTGAAGGAAAACTTAGAAAGTAAGTCTGTGTTTCTTGGTATTAATTTTTTTATATATTAGTTTTTTGATTTTTGTTAAAGCTGTTCTTTTTATTTTTTTTTAAGTTTTAAATTGCATTCCCACTTTGTATTATATGCAGATAAAATCTCTCACTGGTTATTGTGGTCGCTGTGACTCTTAATAAAATTTGTTGGTATGTTAACAAATCCTGAAATATTAGACCAGCCAGCACTGAAGGTTGAAGTGTTTATTCACCAAATTAAACGTTTGATCTGTTGTTGTAAAGACTTGAGGTCACTTTATTTTATTTTATTTTTAAATACTTATAAATACAATTTCAGGATTCCTTTGTATGAGATTTCTCATGAACTGTAAAAAAAATGAAAACACATGTGAAAATTGTTGAATAGAAAATTTAACCTTTTCATCGTCAGACTTTCTCACCTAAATTTTTCTGCACTTTTTTTCTTGATTTTTGTTTGATTATTCAAACTATTTGGCTAATTTTGTCCCAATTTTCTGAAGGAAAGTGCAGACTGTAAACAGGACTATTTTGTTAATTTGTGATGAAAGAGGGAACTGGTGTATAGTTTTTGGTTGATGTACTCAGGATATATTAATTGTACGCTAATAATTTTCTTCTTCTTCAAGAATGAGAACTTTGCAAGCAAAAAAATTCAACCGTCCAATGCCTGTGAAAGCTAACAACCTAGATGACTCCACCAGTCTCTTGGACACCACCTTGGAGACTATGGACGGAGACAATAGCAACCTGTCAGGAATTGGTAAGAAAAGAAAACGCGAAGACGAGGATGAGGATGAAGAGGACGATGATGATAGTGATGGAACAGAGGAGACCGGTGCTGATGGAGAAGACGTTGAAGATGAAACAGAGCCAACTAATGCGGATGAGATGGATAAGAAGATTGACAAACTCACCAAGGTAATAATGATTGTATCTACCACTAGAGGGCCTGCCATAGAGGGCGCTGTACTGACATAATCAATTTATTATTATAATTGTGTTCTAAAATCATTTTGGCCGAGCAGTTATCTATAATCCAATGAAAAATAAATATTTACAACCGTTAGAATTGAAAGGAATTGAGCTGCATTATTGTAATTCTTAATAAACTGGTGTATATATGTATCATCTTTGCTCTAATACACTTTTGCACACACACTTTTTATAGATTGCATTTTCCTCATTTCTAGCCTGGATCTCAGTCATACATGGACAACTGTTGTTACATATATTGAACATATTGGGACATTGATGCATGTCATTTTGTTTTTCTGATTGAATTTGAAATTTCAACAGTCATTTTGTTGTATAATAAATGTGTTCTGGAGCTATATTGATAACATACTGTGATAATTCATGGTTCAACTTCATATATTTCTAAAATTTGATAAATCACAGGGACTATGTAATTACTTGTTGAAATTTAGTCAGTAGCATGGCATGGTTTCATACATTTATTTCACATGTTACATAGAGTAAATAACAAAAAAAGATCTGTATGTGATACACACACTAATGTTTACCATACAGGAAATATGAGTCTCATGTCATCACTATATGTTTTACATAACTGACATCCCTTATGTTTATTTTTGTAGCAACAATGCCAGTTCCGTAACAAACTGTTTGAAGCATCTCATGCGCTACGTGCTATGTCCTTTGGACAGGATCGATTTCGCCGTAGATTCTGGGTTCTTCCCCATGCAGGTGGTATTTATGTGGAAGGGATGGCCAGTGCAGAATTACCGGATGACATGAAACATGAACTTGAACATCAGGAAAAACTTGATAAAAAAGAAGAGATTAAGAGTCAGATAGAACCTTGTCGAGAGACTGCGCTGGATCTGTCGATGCCAACAGCCAGCAGCACACCAGGAGCAACCCCAAAAATTAAAACAGAACCAGAACCGGAACAAAACTTGTTTCTCCAAAAACCAGAAAACTTCTCCAGATTAAGTGAACTACTTCAAGTTGCGAAACAAGAGCCAGAATCGGATTGCAATGCATTAGCACCATCTGAGGCAGTCAGTGATGCTGCTGCCACGGTTACATCACACTGTCCTACACAAACTCAGGCTGGTTTGAATACGTTCAGGTTGAACAGTGGACTTCCTCCGGTCACCCAAGCTGAATCCAATGCAGGTTTTGTGAAACTTGATAACTATGTACATCAGAAAAATGATAGCCATTTTGCTATGGCTGCTTCTTCTTTCTCCTCAGGGCAAATATCAGCTGAGCAGCTGCTGAAAGGACTCGCAGATCAACCTAATGGAACTAAACCATGGTTTAGTATCCTGCCGCAAATGCCTTGCAATGAGACATCAAGGACTCACAGCTCACCGAACAAAGCTATGCAAGATAGTTCTGTCCCTGCATTTGGAGTGAGTGCATTCCATATCCCCAGTGGCACATTCTCGACCATTCCCATTCCAGGACTGAAAACATCGTCTGCGTCACCCAGTTTAGCATTCCCTGGATTAGCTCACGGATTTATTCCAGTTTCTGCCATGTCAGCATTTGGATTTCCTAGTTCGTTGATTTCCTCCGCTACGAGTTCTCCACAGAGCCTGTGTGAGGCTAGTAAAGAATTTATGACTGCACAGGCTCAAAATGAGGCCATGGCGAACATGAAAGCCTTGCTTGGTGAGAGAGAAAACAAAGTGGCTGCTCCGATACCAGAAGGTAGATTTTAATAAAAGATTTTAAT